TATATATTATATATATATTTTTATTTATATTGGAAAAGAATAATAATATTATAAAACAACTTCTTGGAAATGTATACGCATTTAAATAGTTCAAGCATGAATCACTAGATTTTTGCAAAAAGCATTTTATTTTAATTACGTTTGAAACACATACTAAATTCAATGCAGTAAAAAGAAATATGTCAAAATGTATACAGTGTATATGAAAAATCATAAGATTGAAACATTGACATTGAAATAAGAATAATAATGGGCCATGTACGACAATTCACGTTTAAACTTCGTAGATTTTTTAGCAAAATGATCATTTTCCAATTATTTTCGTTATCAACTCTGATTTTCTTCCAGCAGATAAGAAGAGGTACACCTCTATTACACCTCAAGAGGTTCAATATCAATAAGCAATTCATCCATATCGAAAAATGAACCATCTGCTAATTTTCGCAAGTTCTAGCAATTTTAGTTATTTCAAAATTGTGTAAAAAATAATGGTTTTTCACAATTTTGTGTATATTGTCGTGGCCGACCAATTTATTATCATCTATTGTATAATTAATACGGATACTTGAACGTGATTATTTACAATAACTTGTAGAATATTCCGAAGAACGGTTACACATTAAATCGTATAATTGCGTCTATTTTTATCGCCACTCAACAGCCTAAATATGTGGGTAGAATGATAAAACATAGATAAAGAAACGGTTGTATTTTCCACAAGCTCAAAGCTGATTTCCTTACCTCCCACGCAGTCCCTTTTTGAAATGAACACATTTTTGTATTATATAATTTAGTCTTAGTTGGAGGATCCAACGTAGAAGATAGTCTTTGTTAGGGGGTCGAACCGAGAAGTCTTAGTTTGAGGGTTGAAATCTGAACATGGTCTTTCTTGGAGAATCCTAGGAAGAGTTCTAGTCAGAGTTAGTCCTAGCAATAGTTCTAGTCTATACTACTCTTGAACAGCAACCTATGCTTGTAGTAACTGGAAGCTAAATTATGAATCTGAGTGTTAACTAAATACGATTAAGTACACTTTTTAGTCAAGACTCTTCCATAAAACCCACTAGGAATCCACATCGACAATACTACAAATTATTGCAGTGTCCAGAGATTTCTTAATCCGGGGACACTACAATATGTCTAAAATCGGTGGCAATCGCAAGCCCGACAACCGAAATCCCGTTTATCGAAATCCCGACGTTCGAAATCCCGGCTGGCTCAAAATCCCGACTACCATAATCCCAACAATCAAAATACCGACTATATCGAAATCCCGACAGTGTTCTTTATTATTATAATTTCTACAATAACATTTTTATGGTAGTCGGGATTTCGATATAGTCGGGATTTCGAACGTCGGGATTTCAATAGACGGTCTTTCGGTTGTCGGGCTTGCGATATAAACCCGTCTAAAATGTATAACCTTTAATTCAGACATATTATTTTATTATTGTCAATTAATTAAACAATTTGACTTAAAAATTGTCAAAATATTCAACAAATATCATCATTTCGATTATCGGGATTGTCGGGATTTCGAACGTCGGGATTTCAATAGACAGTTGTTGGGCTTGCGATATAAACCCGTCTAAAATGCATAACCATGCATAACCTTTAATTGAGACATATTATTTTATCATTGTCAATTAATTAGACAATTTGACTTTAAAATTGTCAAAATATTCAACATTGTAAAAATTAAGCTTGCAAAGTTGATAATATAACTTTGCAAGCTTAATTTTTACAAAATATATAACATGTTAATATTTGCAATGCTTTTTAACATTGTAATTATAAATATATATATTTTGTATGACTGTTGTAATAAATTTTGTTATTGTTAATTATTAATAGACTTGAGAAAACATTCATAATCATGATATAAATATATCCATGATTCACATCGATCGTGAGTGATTTCTATATAATGGTGGAGTAGCCGGGTAATGCCATTATCCAATTGAGGTTATGTTATACATCAAAGAAGGGTTCTATATTGATCCCGACGCTTGAAATCCCGACTATGTCAAAATCCCGAATATATCGAAATTCTGATTACCATAATCCTGACAATCAAAATCCCGACTATATCGAAATATTTAAGCTTCTAAAAACATCTATCGTACTCTTTGTGAAACTATTTCACTCTTCAGAAATGTTTTGCGAGAATAAGTAAAAATTCCTAAATATTCGTATTTAGATTTGTAATTAATATAAATATTGTTTGAATAAGATTTTGCAAATTATCAAACAATGAATGTATATTAAAATATTCAAATAATTGTAGTTGCAAATCGAATTAGTAAATAATAGCTCCAATTATAATTTCATGCGTAGAAATGACTTTTGGTATTAAGTAAAAAAAAATTAAATGTGATTGTAATGTACATCAAAACAAAGCCAAAGGTTGTATTGATTTTTCAAGACATATCATAAATTTATTCAGATAGTTAAAAAGATCGCGTATTATGAAATAAATAGAAAGAAAAGGTCACATTGACTTAATAAATGTATTTTTATAAGTTGATTAAGATATACATCATGGTATTTATTCTTGAAATATATTTATATATCTATATGTATATATAGGTACCACACAAACTAAACATTGACTCAAAATAACAAAAAAAAAAGAAAAATAATTACAATATATTATATATATATAGACAATAAAATCTGTTCTAGTTCATTATTTTTTTTCTCCTCCGATTTTCTGACTCTAGTTTTTCCTTTATATTATCAAATACATATACAACACTGAAGGGAAAAAAAAATAAAATTAAAAAAAAATCACAATAAACATAAATCTTATTACATAAATGTAATCAATCCTGTGCTTTTGGTTTATTTCATTTTCTTTTTGTTTGTTTATGTAATTAATTTATGTACCACATTTGCAGTGGGGCTCTCGTTATAATTAAAAGTAAAGCGTAGAAGGTGGACAATGGTGCACGCTCTAACAGCATCCGCCACCCTGAGATCCATCTTTGCCTCCAGCTCCGGGCAACGACGGATTCGTCGGAGAATGCTGGGGTCCAATCTTAATACCATTTGCCTGGAATCAAAACAAGATTAGTGATTTACAATAAACAAATTAGGACTGTTGTTGCTGTACCTCATTGTTGATATCGAACACTCCCTCCTGGATTTTCTCGTAGATCTCTTTGGCTGTGTTGATGAAAGCCTCCTCAACGTTGGCGGCCGTCTTCGCGGATGTCTCCATAAATACTAATCCATGTTCTCTGGCAAAGGCTTCACCCTCCTCCTTCTTCACTTCACGTCTGCTTTCCAAGTCACTAATTGACAGAAACATAAAGATTAGTAATTAGAATTTTAAGGAGCTGGCATTTGTACCTTTTGTTTCCAATCAACATAATGACCATATTGGAATTGGAATGTTGTCTTGCATCCTCGAGCCAAGTAGTCAAATGGCTGAAGGTCTCCCTCCTTGTGATGTCATAAACAAGCAGGGCTCCAGCAGCACCCCTGTAGTAGCTCCTGGTGATTGAGCGGAACGCCTCCTGACCAGCAGTGTCCCAAATCTGCAGCTTGATCTGCTTGCCATCGATGGTGATCATGCGGGCCCCAAACTCGACGCCAATGGTCAAGTCATGGACAGGCTGGAAGCGCTTATCAGTGAACTGCAAGAGCAGACACGACTTGCCCACACCTAAATTAATCAACACAGGCTATTAATACGCAGATAAGAATTGTTTTTCGGAATAATGGACGAACGATCTTATACATATATATATGTCTGTAGATATATTGACATCCATGAATGTCATTGTTAGGCGTTATGCGATCTTTTGGACGCAATACAGTATAAAGAAATATTCTACTCCTTACCTGTATCTCCTATAATGATGTACTTGAAAAGGTAAGCGTACGACATTTTTTCTTTGGCTCAAGAAATCGATATAAAAATATGCAACAAACGAACTCCTCCACAGAAATCACAATACTACCAAATGACAGCTGTCTTTGCCAAACGTCACTGAACGTCAATTCGCTAACCGACTCTAACCAAAGATCTGCGCTCTCGTTAACGCGCACAGCTTGGCCACCAGATTTTGTCAATACATTTCAGCTCTTAGTGGCGCCAAAATTCAAAACGTTCTCATTCACATAAACTTTATTCTAGCTTCAATCTAATGATATTACATATTTGATAAATACTGATTACATTATTTAGTATATAAACAATTTCAATAATATGATTCTTATATTTCAAATTAAAGCTGATATTCACAAAAAAAAAAATCCCTGTAATTTCGAAACAGATGTGAAGAAGTGCAATACACTCTAACATTCTATTTAATACTTAAATTTGCATGGAAATTGCAAACATAACTATTAAATAAAATCACATCGATTTCGCATGAAAAAGCTTTCGTTAGTATGAAAATACTCTCCAGATTTTCAAAGTCAATCAGACCTCTTCTGATAGCCGATCCCTTTACATTCAATGATCCTATAGTTGTCCATCTCTATTATATTAAATTTGGCCTGGAATTAATCATCGAATTAAAACACGTTTTGCTTTGCATCGAAATAACAATACCTTTGTAATCATTTCGGCAATATAGATTGCAGTTTTCGTATGCAAAGTAATCGCGGCGACTTTGATTTGAGAAGTACCCGCTGCCAATGCCATAAAAATGATGAGCTGATCCTGGCAATAATCATCAACGCAAGCACCCGAAATGATATTATCCAATAGATGATTCGCAGCTTCGGCCCCGGTCTGTTCACCAGTGTGATTTCGTTTTCCCAATGCCGAAGCACCGAGGAAACATCCGGTTGAAGTCTCAGCAACTAAACTGAAAACCATGATTAGTTAATCCATTTAAACGTTTTTTTTTGTTGTTGTTGGTGTAAATACATTATTCCTGAACAATTTCCTACTGGCGCTATATATTTGGACTCTTTGTACTGTTCTATTTCAATTCGCTTTGTAATTTGTGTAAGAATATTGGTTGCTTTTCCAGCCATGGCATGCGTTATGCTCATGGGAAGTGAACCTGATACAAAACTCCAACCAGTGATCTTCACTACTTTGCCCTGATCCAAAATAGTCACAGGTCTCAACTGCTTCATTGGATTTGTGTAAATGATGACTTTCCCTTTGCCCACTGGATAGTATCCGCGTGTGACCAATTGAAAGTCAAAGTCTCCACCAAACATTTTCAGGTAATGCTTGAAGACCTCAGTCATGTAGTCTAATTGTGGTGCCATTTCAACATTGGTTCCACCTTCGAGGTGCAATTCACATGGCCCATTGGCAAATAAAACACATGGCAGGGATACTTGTAGCAAGAGACAGATGCTACCAGCTGTCTTTACAGGAGCATCATAGTTCCCACCATAATTGTGAAATGGCCAAAATTCAATCTCATTAGAACCAATTGAGCAACCTATGACTTTAGCTCTGCTTATATCTCTGACCAATTGCAAACCTATAATACATTAAATTAAACTGGGAACAGAAAAAAACTCAAAAGCAACTTTGCCACACCCCTCATATGTTGCTCAGCCAATCCAGGTTTCTTTCGGCATGCCCTGATCTTTGATATTTTAATTGGAGTGCCTGTTAGCACACTCAGAGCTAAAGCATTTCTCAATAGTTGTCCACCCTAGAAAATGTCAAGTGGTAATAAAATATTTTAACAATTATTAAGAGAGTTACTAACCGCTTCCAAAACTGATCCATCAATTTCCAGCAAGTCTCCTGCCATTTTCAACTAGTTACAACTGGTCTTCCGTAACTTACTTTATATTTGTTTCCAGGCACAGCTTACTCTCGTCTATAATTTCCGATATAAATAAGTTTTTGGTTATTTCATAAACTAAAGTCCAGCAACTTAATATACAGCTACAAAAGATAAACTGAGATAAACATTCAATTTGAGGTTACATGTTATAATTATAAATCAAAATATATTATAAATTATTTACTACATAGTGTACAGATGGAAAGAGCAACTAACAATAATTAATTTACTTTACATTACCTGGAAAAAAGTTATAAAAATTTAGAAATATTCTTTCATATTATCTTGTTTGGTTTGTAAATCATACTTGAGGTGTATTCTTTCATATTAAAAATAATAACTTTATGAAATGCTACAAGAATTGTGTTACTTATATAATTACAAAAAAGGATATTTTTTAAAAAAAAAAAGTTTGGCATTGCCAATAATACTGCAATATATTTCTGTAAGAGTTATTGATTAACAAACTGCCAACCAAAGAATTGCATTATCAACGTTCTCGTTGATGATTGAGCATATTTTTCTGATTATTTCTATGCAATATATTTGATTCATTTTTATATTTTCAAACAATTTATTTGTGTAAAGTGAGAATTAGTTTTATTGTAAAATGATTTAAAAAAAAAGATATTGTTGTACCCCAGATGGGACTCGAACCCACAATCCCCGGCTTAGGAGGCCGATGCCTTATCCATTAGGCCACTGGGGCTTATATAAATTATTTTCAGATGCATATTTATTGCCGATAACAAATAAAATTGATTTAATATGAATTGTTAAACGACGAACGTTTACTAATTAATTTCCCACGTATATACTGCATTTAAATGCTTACATATTATACAGCACAAAGTGACATTTATTTTTGTGACCTAACCTAAACCCTATGTTTTCGTTGCAATAAAAACATGTCTGCGATAGATCGTGTTCGTATTATGGTTTTAGGTGATTCGGGTGTTGGGAAAACGTCGTTCGTTCATTTAGCCGGTAAAATAATTGGAAATTTAATAATATTTTATAAGATAAATTTTAATCCTTGTAAATATTTAATGTTGTAGCAAATAATGAACCAATTCGCACCCCTGGCTGGACGGTGGGTTGCTCTGTAGAAGTTAAATTGCATGAGTACAAGGAAGGAACACCTGGGCAGGTCTCCTACTTTGTGGAATTCTGGGATGTCGGAGGCAGCAATAACCATAGAAACACAAGGCATGTCTTCTACAATCCATGCCATGGTGTGATTTTGGTCCATGATCTGACCAACAAAAAGTCTGAGGAAAATTTGAAGAAATGGTTGCATGAGATTGTTAACAGAGACATAAACTCTAGTCTGGTATCAGTGCAGAGCTTTGATGATGCTGATCCAGAGAACTTCTTTGGATTCACGCAAATCCCTATTTTGGTGATTGGCACCAAATTGGATCAAGTGGATGATAAGAAGATGGTTTCTAGGTCTGCGAAAATTGCCAATCAATTGGATGCGGACGAGATCCTGTTGGATTGTCGGCAAACCAGGTACATTGCTGCAGGAACGTCGAATGCAGTTAAACTGTCCAGGTTTTATGATAAGGTCATCGATAAACGGTATTATTCCTGTAAATCTATTCCCTATTTGAACAGGTACAGCACAACCTCGCCTATCTTACCATCCAAATTTTATTCGCCTTCACATCAAGACTAAATAATTACCATATATAATGATTAATCAATCACGCTTTTATCATATTTTAATTCGGGCTTTGTCCACTTTTCATTTAATGCAAGTGAATAATATTAATTTATATTTTGTTAGTTAAAGTAAAAAGGACTAATATATATTATTCCACCTTACTCTTCCAATTCCATGTGATTTTCTTGTTTATTTCTTTACAATAATAATAATACAGTAACACAATAAAATTATAATAAAAAAAAAGTTACTTTGATTTACAAAAAAATTAAATAAATAGAAAAAAAATTAGCTGTAGTCCATGTTTATATTTTAGTTTCAGTATCACACAAAAAAAAATAAATTCTATAACCATGTACGAGCTTATATATATCCTTGTTTAATCCTCCTTTTTTTTTCTCTCTCTCTTCGAACCAATTTTCATGACTTTGTCTTTCATCTTAAAAAACAACAACAAAACAAAGTTAGCAATCTAAAAAGTTAGCAGCCATCAACAATTCAAGTGCAATCTCTGGGGCAATCGGAAATTCTGGAATCTCTGTGGAACTGTTGGTGTAGCGAACCTTGTATGTGAAGTACATGCAGACCTTTTGTAGCACGTGTGACCTGAAATTGTTATTATTAGTTTCAATTGTAGGGTTTTATACATTTCTATACGTACGGAATTTCCCTGAAGTTCACCTCGTTGGCTTCATTTTCAGCAAATTGACCAGGTCCACTGAGCATGGCTTTAATTGTTCCAGAAGTCAGAGCGTGTTCGCGTTTGACTATAAATTCGTGGCCATCGGAGGAAATCAGCTTGACGTACATGGCATCTGGGCCCTCGCAGCCCCCATAAACGCGTTGGGGCTCCACAGTGCCCAGGGAGTGGACTGAGGTTTCCTCTACTTCGGTCATGCTCATTCTGTTGTGTTTCTATCTGGAACAATTATTAGGTCATTTCAATAATGATAATCGTGAATTGTTTATCTTATTGTTCTCAATATAAACAAATCAATTGCTAGGTGTTAAAAAAATATACCAAAAAAAAAAAACACAAGACAATTGGGGTGACAATGAAAGCTATGCACATTGAACAACACTATTTTAACAGACAGACTGTTATTCAGCTCATACTTCAATTGTTTTAAGTCTTTAAATCTTACCGAAATTGGGGCAAAAACAAATATGAACAAATTTGCCCACGCACTGCAGTGACAGCCTAAGCCTGAGCAATAATCTGCTGCTGTTATACTATCAGTTCTACCAACTCTATACCTGAACCAAAAAAAAAAACACTTTTTCTTAGCGTTCGGGCTTCTTCGGTCAGGTATGACGCATCTTGTACAGTGGCGTACTTCAATATAGATTATGGAAGTACAGAACCGCAGTCAGGATATTGGCCCAATGTCAGGAGAATATTTTATTATTACTACTTTTGTAATAATACATAACCATAAATAAAATATTCCATTGTATACATTCTTAAAAATATTATTTGACAAATTTGATAATAATTATTCAATATGGATTAACGTGTTAATTTGGTTGCATATCTCAAGCATTTCAAATTCTCTTAATCTGTTTAGTTGATATATACAATGTAAACTAATATAAATTAACAACTTAAGAGTGACGAAACCTGCAGCTTGGTGACTCTTAAGACAAAATTAAGCCTGTACAGCGTTTCTTAACCTTTTTTTCGCGCAATGCAACGTATTTGTTTGTTTGTTCTGCTACTCAAAAACAAATGAAAGAAAAACATAGGAAAGCTAAGACTATTTTATCAGTTCAACGCTTCAATGATAGGTGACAGCTGTATAAAATGATAAAATTCTTCATCTTTTTTAAGGATTTTATCAACCAAGCTGGTGGTTGATAAAACTTAATGCTATCAATCTGCATCGATAACTAAATCTAGAATTGATTTGTTTGACTAGTATAGCTTACTTGTTAATTTATATCAATATATCAAGACTATTCTTTAATAGAACTTTTCCAATGATAATACAGAAGAAATGTAATAGGAGCAAAGACATTTCCTTCACAATGATACCATTTCTTAGTTTGAAATTCATAAAGCTAACAACAAAATGATCAGCAAGAGATATAACATAGTCAGAGGATTAAGATCAGAACTCATTAAATGGTATTCACGTTTTCTTTAAACTCGAAAATGTATATAGTAACTCAAAATGCAAAATTTGCGCTATATTTGTAAAAAAAAAAGAAGAAATCTTAAAATGTCTTTATTGTGATCAAACAATATTTTTTTAATTAATTAATATGGTCAATTGACCAACATATTACAATTCATAAATATATAAACTGAACACAAATTTCATTCAGAAAAGTCGACTCACTTAATGAATTTCATTCATAATGTAGCGAATAACAATAAAAAGTGTATATATTATTGCATAACTTAATTACATATTTGAATGATAATAAATAACAAATTATCACATATTATCAATTCTATCACTATATCTAACACTAGTTTTACAGTACATTTAGTTTGACTGATATCATTTTTATAAATATTCACTTGAAATAATAGCATTATACTTCAACGATCAATCATTTCTAAATAGTTGACAAATTACATTATATGTATATATCATTAAAATGAAAAAAAAAACTACTTTTAGCAAGAGAAGTAAGCGTAATGTAGACAAATAGAGGATTACACCTTGTTTTAAATGTAGTAATATTACATAACATTTTTAAATATAATAAACAACAACATTCATTGCAACATTACATAAATTATTACAAATAAGTAAGTAAAAAAATAACATCACTTATTTTAACAGACTATCGAAGCTCCCTATATCATACGTACCGTATTTATGGTGTAAATCAGCGCTTCTCAACCTTTTTTCAACGCGATCCGTCATGTTTGTGAAAGTACCGATGAAAACTAAGAGTATTTCAACAGATTTGACATAAAGTGATAGCTGTCACATAGCAAAAATAGTTCATTTTAAAATTGTCTTATTTTTAGTAGGTGGTAATAATAATAAATGCAGGTAGATAGTTTTAAAAACAAATTCTCTTTAATTTCAAAACAGAGATAAAATACATATTCAATTATTCAAATATTTTGTAACTAATCTTACAATTTGTAAATATTTTAAATGCTTCAATGGGTTTTATAACAAACTCACTTTTACAATGCGATCCAGACCGTAACATTCCGGGGATCGCACTAAACCCAAACAAATAAATATTCCTTAGATGTATACAAATATGCACGATGCATTGGAATGAAACCGAAAGGCCTTATCCTCTCCTAACATTTTTCCATTAAAAAATCAACAAATATTTTTCCCCAGTCCGGAAAAACGTAATCCTCGAAAATTTACAATAAACAGCAATGTTTTACATAATCGGCAATAAAATACATTTACCGCTCCCTTTACATTGCTTTACATATTACATACGATAAACAATTCGCTTAGAAGAGAAGACACTTGCTCCGCTCATAGATGACTGCGGCAGGTTAATTTCAATTCACCTGATTAAAAATCAAGTCCTAATAGACGCGTTCATATCGGCATCTGCACAACGGGCGTCGGGTATTCTTCAAGTGTGCATTCGTAGAAATCGGCAAGGATCTGTTCGTCGTTAGTTAGCGGTGGGTCATAGTTCGTGTCCCATGGGATGGTCAGATCTCTTGTGATGAGGACGCACGGGCATCCCTTCTGGCCGGAGATGCCGCACATTTCGGCCAATTTCTCGCTGCTATCGACCTGCAAAAAGGAAAACATATAAATTAGTTACGAACATCATTTAATAGTTCAGTTTAGTTTTCGAAAACGTGACGTCAAAGTAGTAGCATATGGCTTTTAATATTTTTTTTTGGTGTTCTCCAATCTCTGATCAAACAATCCATTAAAGTGGTTGCAAATTGGGATCATATGTGCCGGTGTATTGCATAACGTTACGAAAAACAAAACAAACACTTGAACTCTTATCTCAGCACGTGCGATTCCTCTTACCTTAATGACGGGTATAAAATTCTCGTAGCAGAACGCTTGCAGAAGAACTGTTTGCATGTGAGCTGTGGCATCGTCCTTTCTGGTTTCAGGTAGGAGGCACATCAGAGTATCGTCGGAGGCCTTCTGCAAGTAGGTGATGGCCGGCAGGAGACCGGAGATCAACCTGTTCTCCACTTTGGCTTGCGTAAGAACGCCGCGGATGGCTCGGCCCATGTTGCTTCTGCAGAAGAAAATAAAACAAATAGTTAATATCTTTGTAAATTTAATCCTTACGGTTGGTTCTCAATAACATACCTATTCAACATTTTGCATTTGCTGTTGTGGAACTTCGAGATGCACATCTTTGTTACTGTGGAATACAACACTTTGTTATCGACACTTGTCACTTTGGTGGTATCACAAGAATGAGCACTAATTTTAGCTTCGAAGTTAATCACACCACTGATATAATCCAAATGCGGAGACTTATCCAATGTTGTGAAATAATCTTGTTTGTCTTTTAGAGAGTAGAGCTAGTAGTTCGACTGTCACTCAATGCGGAGGTAGTGGAACTGTGACGCAAGATTCCATCGCCACCGCTTTTATAGGAACGCGAACGTCGCGACGCTGCGAGTGGGGCGCACGTGACGTTTCGAGGAATACCCTGACCCCCCACCAGAACGCTATTACTTTACAACTTGTCGGAACATGTTAGTCACTGGAATCGGTCTGCTCGGAATTCCTGTCTACATCGTAAATTGTTTCCTTCCCTTTAAACTTCAATTATTAATCAATATACATATTTTTTCCCTTCTTTTGTCGCCACTTTTTTTCACCACCCCAATTATAAGCCCCCCTTCAATAATATCTCCAGCATTCCGTTACCACAAGAAAAAAACCAGTTCCTTTTGTCCATATGCAAATCTTGATAACAGTTTTTTCGCGCAGATGTCCAAAATTCATAATTGTGGAGCAAATCGCGCTACATTCATTATTTTCATAATAATCCATACTAAATTATAACGCATTCCTGAAATGACCTAAAAACGTCAAAGATTTCGTAATTTATTGCGCGCTCGGAATGCGACGAAAGTTTTTTTTGTTTTCAGTCGCATGCATTCAAAGAAAAATAACATTATTGTTCCAAATGCATCAAAGAAAATCCAGTCAATAGTCAACATATTTACCATTGAATTTTGCCACCAATCAATTATTTTCAATTTGTAATCTTCTTTTGTGCAATTATTTATAATGATCATTATTACCATACATTGATTGAATAATATAAAGCTTTTATAAAACACATAGAATATTCACTGTACAACATCAATCCCGTAAATAATCAATAAAAATAGTGGCAAACATTGCACAATCAGTATGTATTGTTGCCAATTTAATAATGAAATTAATTCTGCAAACACACACATTTTATTGCTTTGATCCATTATACGAGAAAATATAATTATACAGGGTGGCCCAATTAAACTGCAACCAACTTAAAACTGCTATAACTTTTTAAACTGTTGGCAATGATGTGTTCATATTTCGCCTAATGATAGTTGATTTTATTGTTTACAAGCCTGCGGAAGCATTTTCATCTCAGTTTTTTGAAAAAAAAGTTATCAGTGATGGAAATCAAACGTAATAGTGCAACATTTGAACGGAAAACCAAAAGTGGCTATTGTTAGAGCCCTCGAACCTCTTTTGTGTCTCTAACATGTTATAACGAAGCTAGTAGTGTTACAATATACTATTTTGGTGGTGAGAAAAAACTACGTCTGTGGTAGAATCGAAGAGCGAAGAAGCTGTTGCGCTTGTACAAACGCAGCCAATTGCCAAATATCGTCTTGTCTGAACAGAAAAATTTCACAATTGAAAAATTCGTAAACAAAATAATCGAATTTACTTAGAAGAGAAATTTCGGAAATTTAGATATCAAGTACCACCATTTATGGCACATTCGTGCAGCGTGTGACTCGCTTGTCGATCAACTCAGAGCTATAGTTCGCGCTCAAGGCGATCATATCGATAATTTGAAATGAATTCAAAAAAAATAATTGTTTTCCAACATTTTTTGCTTTCGGTTCAATAAAATCAAATTTCAAATAAAAAAATACAGCGTTCTGAAAAGTTGCAGTTCAACTGGACCACCCTGTATATCTATTAAATATAAGACTGATTCAATTTATTAATGCAAACTCAAAATTTAAATTAAAAAAAAAATATAATTATTACTTGTTTTTACTCAACGTACAATAATTTATTTATTTGAATTTTCTATTTTGAAATAAATTTTCGAAAACTTTGGTCCAAAAATAAAAGGAGGGTAAATTCTCGCTTCTTTTTATACCCTCCTATAGGGCAAATACAAGAATCAAACCCTTTGCATGTTATTTTCTTCTTCTCCTCTTGAGAAATGAAACATTTTCAATCGTTGTTCATGGAACCGACAAACAAAAATTTTATTCAATTTTTTTTTCCGTTATGGAATGTGGAATTATTATTTTATTGTTATCTTAACTCATTATAGTTTTCCGTTGTTTCCATTTAGAAAAATAAAGTTTCCTCAGCCCCGTGGAATAATAAATTTGATAAATTGGAAAATTATTTATGTAAATAAACTGTAACGTTTGATAACTGCAACTACATTTAGTAAACTTGTTATATTTACTTTGCTTAAATATTAGTTTTTAAATGTGAGTTTTAGAAAATTTCTAAATAATTATAGGAAAGATTTTTAATTACCATGATTGTCTATAACCTAGACTTCCTATAGATAGATCAAATAATATAATCTAAAGTGATAGAGACTTTCATATCGACTGTTGTTATGTTGGAAATAGTATTGATGTGTAATCTGTAAAAATCAATATATTTTTAACGAGAATTTCCATTTAGATTAGAAATACAATAATAAAAATTTAAGATGTGGATTAAGGACACTTGCGCTAATTGAATAAAAAAGAAAACATGTGAAATGTTTTACAATAGTAAAAATTAATTAAAAGAACGAAATTAATTGTATTTTAATGAACTTAATGGAACGTTCCTACGATAAATTAATTTGAAATGGAAAGTGTTTCAAAAATTAAGACTTTAAAGTAGAAGAAAGAACTTTAAAAAAAAGAAAATATAGCAATACCTTGCATAGTACGGCTTCGATTAATCCGGATTTCAGCGAGCAAAATAGTACACACAGTTATTTTTTTTTATAGATAAATGATTACTAAATGATTCGGTTCATGCGTTTTGTTCGGTTCATTTAAATTTTATTTAATTTTTGAATTAGTCCGGTTTCAAACAGTCCGGAATATGGGCTGAACCGATCTAGACGAGGTATTGTTGTACTTTTTTTTACTATTTTAATAGGTAATTTAATAAATTATGATAATTATTTATTTGCACCTGTCTAGACATTAATATCTTGTTACATATATAGAACATTACATGAAAATATGCATCCTGGAGGAGTTATCTAATAAAAACTAGATATAAACTGCATCGCACTGACCTAACTTAATGTGTAAATAGAGCAGAGAGTACGGAATAAAACGTATAAGCAATAACAAAATACAAATTGTGATCTTGCTTCAATTGAAGGTCAAGTGCAATAACCGTGGTAAATAAATAAATAAATGCAATTGCGAGTTCCGACTGTACATTTCCAAGTGCATAAACAAGTAATAGATTGAGAGTGGACTCGGCAACGATCCAGCCAGCGGTTTTCAAAATACTCGACAGTTGTCGGGAAAATTTTCTCGCTCGCAACGCGTTTCCAACAATTCGTATTCGCCCAAACGAACTGCACCTCTCTGGGTAAATCCCCGAATACCCAATGATGGTATTATATTTTTGTTGCGCACATTTTCCGGTTGTGCTATTTTTATGCTTTTGTTTGTTTTCTTTAAAGAAAATAGTCTCAAGTTATGGCGAATTTGTAAATTTGTACATCTTTTTCTTTTCAACATGATTCTAGGATAAACACTTTTTTGTTATATTTTATATTCTACAAAACATATATTCAATTTTATAATAAAAATTGACACATATTATATGAAATGTCATATTTTACTTGCAATTCTATAATGAATTTTACTGGCAATATAATTTGTTTAAAAACAATAAAGTTTGACACTTGATAAAATAAATGTTACACTTTACTTACATTTCTATAATGATTTATTTATGGCAATATAATTTGTTTAAAATACAATAAAGTTTGCATAATGAAATAAATAGCACATTTTTCTTGTAAAATATAATAAATTTTCATGAAAATTAATTAGTTTAAACAACCATAAAATTTGACACATGTCAAATTAAATGTTATAATTTACTTGTATTTCTATAATGAATATTGCTGGCAAAATAATTAGTTTCAAAAACCATCAAATTTGACACATGTCAAATTAAATGTCATAATTTACTTGTATTTCTTTAATGAATATTACTGGCAAAATAATTAGTCGAAAAAAAAAACAAGAAATTTGACAAATGTCAAATTAAATGTTAAATTCTACTTGCATTTCTATAATTAATTTTACTGGCAAAATAATTAGTTTAAAAAACCATAAAATTTGACACATGTCAAATTATATGTCATAATTTACTTGTATTTCTATAATTAATTTTACTGGCAACATTATTAGTTTAAAAAAACATAAAATTTGACACATGTCAAATTAAATGTCAAATTCTACTTGCATTTCTATAATAAATTTTACTGGCAAAATAATTAGTTTCAAAAAACATAAAATTTGACACATGTCAAATTAAATGTCATAATTTACTTGTATTTCTATAATGCAATTTACTCGCAAAATAATTAGTTTAAAGAACAATAAAGTTTGACACATGATTAAATAAATGTCACATTTTCCATTTTCTATAATAAATTTTCCTCACAAAATAATTACTTTAAAAAACATAAAAGTTCTGCTTGCATTTCTATAATGAATTTTACTGAAAATATAATTAGTTTAATATGCAATAAAATTTGACACATGTCAAATTCAATACATTCAACTTGCACTTATATTTTGAATTTTACTGATAATATAATTAGTTTAAAGAATTGTAAAGTTTAATACATGTTTGATAAATGTTAAATGCATTTCTATAATTAATTTTAATGGCAAAATAGTTAGTCTAAATAAACAATATAGTTTGACATTTAGTTCAAAGAACAATTAAGTTTGATACCTATCAAAAAAAAAGTAAAATTCCACTAAAATTAAATCAAATGTAAAATTCCATACGAATTTGTATACTAAACCTGCTGTGATTTGTTAATTGGAAGAAATACGAACGAAATAGTTAATGCGACGGTTGTAATCTATTTACTAATAATATAAACGACAATCTTGTTGTTCCTATTGTTGGGACTCTGCACCTTGGCGAATGCGTTTCGCAAATACGGCGAACGGCACAACAGTGCGTCTAATTCATATGGAAATATTTACATTTTTTATGCAAGTTCAAAATGAAAATGTTGAATGCAACAAAGAAAGAAACGCACAAAATCGAGTGCGAATTGGGTGCAAACTATTGTTTGTTGATTTGAATGCCTGAACCAGTTATTTTTC